GCTTTCCAGCGAATCCAGAGAGTTGGAATCAAGTTAGTCACAAGTGAATTCCCACGTCAGTTCACAAATCGGGTCCGTACGTCTAAGAGATGAATAGTGACAAAAGAATGCCTTTGAGACCTTCACTTAAATACCATGTGTTTACCTAGGACTGAATGACTTGAGAGTGACTTATGACGGACTCAATTACAACTCGGAGCGAATCTAATCAAAACAAATCACAAATCCAAAAAGTCTAGTTCACTCGACTCCAATAAAGTCAAGTTAATTCCAGTCGATTGCAATCCAGGCAATCGATTCAGTCCAAAGGACATCAGTTCAATCCGGCCATCTCCTATCAAAACTAAATCCCTTTCAAGCCAATCCAATCCAGAGTAGTAATCAAATCCCATGAGCTCAAGCGAGACGAGTTAATTCCCATCGACTGTCGTCCAAACCAATCGACTACAGTTCGATCGATAACAAATTAATCGATTCCAATCCTAGCGACTCAAATCCAATCTTAGTTCAACACAATCCCGTCCATCTCATCCACGTGTCGGTACTAACCCGACTGCCTCTCCCACCTAAAGTTATACATGTTTGGCCCCTAATATATAACTTGCGAAGCGTCGGTCTAGAAGTTGCACAGACCTGGGGCGCGTTCAGTTTCACAATACTTTGCGTACATACGCATACCACTAATAATGAAGGTATCCTGGGTAGGCCTATGCCAAGCGAGTCGCACAGAGGTATGCCGGGTTTGCCATCTTGCAGGGCAGTTCTTTGGCTCCACAGGCAAACCTTACATAACCTTTGGACAAAAGCATTTTTTTGCAAAGAGGGCAGCCATGCAAACAAAGGCCTCTGTACGTACTGTGCTTCTGGACGTACCCCCCTGAGCACGGGCAAGCTGAGGGGCGATCAAAGATTAGCCTGACGGACTCCATTTTGGATTGATTTCGAAACTATTAAGCACGGTTGTCTAATTACTTCCCAGTGAGGTAACTTTCATTGAAGTTAATCTTGATGAGTGTCCCTTATGAGATCTGATGATTGAACCCTGCATGAAGACAGAAACCTAAGAAGACCCTGCATGAAACTGAAAACAAAGTCGTGTGTGTCAACAGCTATTAGGTATTATAATGTAAACTTGTACATACATGAACAATACCAGCTATCTGGGTTAAAGGTTGTTCACGCATAAAGGAACTCGTTGGAGAATGTACGGATAATCGAGATAATAGACGACAGTTCTACGATAGGCCTGTGCATGACAATACAAATGGCGAAGGGTAATCGACGCAAATGGGGAAAAGGCTAGATAGCGAGAACAAACTATATGAAACATCTGGACACACGACCGTCGAGCAGATATTTTATAATATCAATTCCTGCCGTTTATAGCTATTTTCACGTGTGGTGATTTTCAACTTACCAATCACAGGAGAAGGGCGTGTATCCATCTTGGCAGTCATCTGCCTGCATAGTCTGCGCTTTACAGCACGAGACATAAATTCAAGCATCCGTCTAAAAACACAACTCATTTCAGAAAATGTCATGGGCAAGCGCGTCTACATTTCAGTACAAAGATCTGACCCCTGTGCGCACAACTCATAGGAAGGATCCTCTTATCAACTCCTCATGCATGTTTCCGTTTGATGCGACCAATTTGGGATCGACGGATGATCTGAAGAGCAATTTCAGTTGTCCCAGACATATCTGCAAAAAGATGACTGCAGACTAAATTCATTCAGTGTCGTCATCGTAATCTACACATATGTTCGTCTATTTGACGTTCAAGAGGCTTGAAATCGTCATCTTCTTCTATTGATCTCAAGGATGGAATCACACGGTCTCCATGTCTTTTCCTTTGCTTTAATGTCCAATGCATATACCAAGCCTTCATGAGAATCGTAGTCCAATGGAGAGACCAAGTATTCGCTAGATCTGGGCACCTTTCTGCCCAATCATTCACTGAATGCAAGCGTGACAGCATGACTCTTGCTAAACAGTATGAACAGGAAAAATGTGACTTATACAAATGGTCACCAGTAAGTGGCTTGGGGATGTCTCTGATAACCCACTGTTTCGCCCTGTTTGCGTACCCTGTGCATTCCGCACCTTAGATCTAATAACATAACAGAAGTAGAGCGATTAAGCCAATTTCAATTTAGGGACTGTCTGTAATACCCAACTCTTCAAGCGACTCGATGCTATGAACATCGTCATTTTCAGGATACATATATTTTACTCCTGTGTGCAACTCTAATCTCACATAGAGCCCCCTGAGTAAACTGCTTTCAGACTCTTTCTTGAAGATATGTGAGCTTTCTGTTTCATCAGGGCTCAAGGCTACTTTCTCTATACAATCTTACAACATCGTCAGCAGCAAAATCAGGAAATGAGTCATCTTGTTCCTGCTACCGAACATAACATATACCTCTGTGGGAGAGCACGGACTCCTATCCTGTGAAACAATCTTGCATTCAAAATTGATTTTGGACAATACGTTACAATTTCAAGGTGAACTAAAATGAACGTCCTGCCTGCCAACATTTCACAAATGGCCAACAGCTGCTGTGATCTTGGCAGTACCCTCAAGGTGAAATTTCCCACTGTGTGATTCAAAGCCATCGAGCCAATCCGCTAGGTTTGCAGCCCATCCGTGTGCCCATCCAGAAAACGAAACCCCAAGCACGAACGACTGCCCTTGTATCAACTCCACCCTGGTTGTAGGCTCGAGTGTATAACTTAATGTAGCTCCCCGTCTCAACAGGTTGGGTGGGATGTATAGCTCACTCCTTGATGAGCTTCGGCAGCATACCTGCCGCGGCTCTCATCAGACGACTCAGCCCTCGCGCGGTCATCCTAGCGGGGGTTTTCCTACACTGCGGTGGGTTCTTCTCCACTGCCTTCGTGCCTTCCCTTGGATACGCCTTCCTGACGTATGGTGCCGCGGTAGGGATAGGAACCAGCTTTATCGTGCAGGGATCGTACACCCTCGCTCTCATGTGGTTCCCGACGAAGCACTGTGCGCGAGCGTGCGCCACAATGAATGCCGGTACCCCCTTTGGTAAGTTGCCAGATCCCTTCGATCCTTTCAATTTTGTTACACAAGGATAAAGTTAAAAGTTCAACAAATTTCTTATAATTTACCCATGTTTCCGACTACATGTACTCTGCAAAACACTTTAAGCAGAATGCAACATGGTAAAATTGATTGCCACACATATTGTCGAGAGATGTGGGCTATATTGTACTTAAGTGTTGCGCAGTAATGAATTCATGCTTAACTTACAAGGTATTTAGAAGGTTTCACGGCCCAGTGAACAGGGGTAATAATAATGATTTGATCTTAGTTAAAAGCACTATTTAAAACCGTCTTGTCACTATGATCATAACTATACGGTGCTGAATTTCATTTATTGTATACATGTAGTTTGTGTAACATTAACCAAATTGAACTACATGGATTTTGGAATCCGAATGTTTGGTGACGGGAAGTAAAAGCGGTTTTAACGTGTTCAATCGATATCCTCTTTCTGTGGGCCTTTCCAATGATCTCACTTGTTAAAAAAGGTTAAATGGCAGAGTCAGTCGAATTTAAATGGATTCCTGAGTCAGTTTTAAATAGAGGTTGTTTTAAGCTTGAGTTTGGTCCCACAAATTTCTTTGAAGTTTCCTTTTTTTCATGTAGATCAAGTGCCAGCTGCATGCTGTGTAGTCACGGACTCAGTGCGGGCATATTCAACTGTACACGTTATTTGCCTCGTTTTCCTCCAGGTATGCTGGTCTCTGGACCTCTACTAAACATGATGATTTCGGCACATGGCTGGCGGCATACGTTCCTTATGGCATCCAGTTTCATCTTCGTCATCAGCGCCATCGCTGGCCTGTTCATGACCACTCCCACGGAAGCACCGAGGGTGCAACTCCCGGAGAGTGAGAAGAGATCACCGGCGGAGGAAGAAAAACTGGCTGCGAAGGGGAGTTCGGAAGGGGTGATCCGGGAAGAAGGAGAGAAGGATCTTACTCCATCCGTTCTGCCCCTTATCCTGCTGTGCCGCCAGTGGGACGCCTGGCTGTGGAATGTGGGAATAGCGGTCGGTTCCATAGCTTGGAGTTTTCACGCCATTAATCTGGTAAGCAATGCGCCAGTTCGGTATTCCAAAAGCGCATGCCACAAAAGAAAGTGCGTTGGGAATACACGAGCTTGGAGTTTTCACGCCATTAATCTGGTAAGCAATGCGCCAGTTCGGTATTCCAAAAGTGCATGCCACAAAAGAAAGTGCGTCGGGAATACACGAGCGTGATCTGTCCTTTGTAACCACCCATTCTCTAAGCGGATCCGCCGCGGAGAGAATTAGTCGTCCTCAATCGACCGCACACAGAGATTGGGCGATTCAACGCCAACATGCACCACTGGGGCCCATCAGCTGCCCGCGTTGCGGAGCAAGCCAGCAAACAGCGCGGCACATCATCCATGAATGACTTTTCCTTCAACCTGACATCAACATCCTGTGACATCAACCTGACCAACCCTAACGACAACACAGTAGAATGGCTACAGCACCTCAGAGATGTAGTATGGTAGATGCTGTCTCACGCGCAAGAAGGGTAACAACCATACACCAACTTTTATACACGCTTTGTTCTCGAATGATCTTAGCTTTTTGAAACTCGTTCATTCCCGGCGGTTAAAATTCTCAAATAAGGGAAGATGAAGTCCACCAGTCCATCCGCTTGAATTTCGACCCCTGGCCAAACGAGCGAAGGAAGCTGTCCTTGCGTCAACCCAATGAGCCTTTTGCGAGTTAAATTGGAATAAAATCTGGTATATTGAATTATCTGACTCCACACAAACGTAAAACTTTGAATTCCCCGGACTAAAGACACTGTCGCTGTACCTCGTGATTCAGGGCAAGCTTTTGCATAGCGACCACCATCTCTGGAATGGACTGGTTCCTTTGTGCTCTTCTGATCTACTGAGAACAGCGTACATGTATTGTTGCAAGGCGTCACTCATGTAACTAAGCACAAGTTTAGAATTCAAACTGTTATGTTCATGTGAATTTAAAGATTTCAGTGTACCAGATTTAACAAATTTAACACGCAAGAGGCCCATTCTCTTCATTTCAGTGAAACATTTCTTTCTCTTTTTCTTTCCTCTGTTGCCAGGCGAGCTTCATGGACAGCATCGGCCTCTCCGAGGTCGATATCTCCCTGGCTGTTGTGGCCCTTTCGGCTGGTCAGCTCTCGGGCAAATTCCTCCTCGCTATCTTCGCTGATTCGCTGCCTTTCCTGAAGCTGTACCTCATCACCGCTTCCTTCATTACTGCCGGAATCTCATCTGGCTTCCTGAAACTCGCATCGACCTTGCCACCCGTGCTTACACTGTCATTTTGTAAGTACAGATATGCAGTTCCCGACTTACTGGCTACAGTGACCCCTCTGAAGCCCCAAATTCTCTTATTTCGACGCGATAATTACGTCATTTGTAAATAGAAACTTGGGGTTAGTGTTACAAACATATCAGAATTTTTCACACTTAGCTCTTCCCAACACTTCACTACGCACAAACTGATATGCAATCATTTTTTTTACAGTTTAGAATGAAAATGGGATTAAACAGCAAGTCAAGAATACATGCGCTTACAAGGCGACGGACAGGCACTGTCTAAGACGGCCATGTCATTCATTCAGGGAAACACACTGTGTATATTCAGCTCAACTTGTTTTCCAGCAAATTTCTACGTGTTACAACATTGCGAGAAAAGATCTAAATACTTATTTTCACTGGGTGAGTGAAGAATTGGGTAGTTTTTGAACTCTTAGAAAACACTTTCATCAAAGATTTCACGAAAGGCACCCCTTGTCAAAATAAGAATATTCCAGAAAGCTGCCCTCCAAAATCAGCCACCAACAACATTTCGAAGACAAACTGGCCACTATTATTGCCCAAACAAGTGGTTTAACCAACAATAAAGTGGAACCTGCTCCAAGAAAATGTAGATAAATGTGATACATTATTGTGCACAAAGCTTTGCAGTCGCTCCTGACCTGCCTTAAGTGCATGTCATCACGCTGGGCTCGTATGTTCATCTTCGTTCATCTTCACTAGCGTAAAATCCAAATCGTTGAAATATCTCTCTTCTACTGCTACAAAGAAGATGGAAAAGTCATCGTTAACATGTAAATAAAGCTGTGCTACATGCGTTCAAGCCATAAAAAATCCTACAACTGTACATAGTTCCTTACAGTGCAAGTACTGACTTGTGGTGTTTCAGCATTGGTTTCATCTATGAGGAGACAACAGCAGTTTTCACAATGTTGCTTGCGATCCCATGAATCCTCGCACACTGTGAGACTAAAACTGGTGTCAATTGACTACAGTTGGTTTCCTCGACATTATCATCATTCATGTTGACATTTCAGTTTTTGGGATGTTCCGAGCCGGTAGTTTTGCCATGATGCTTCCCTCGTCCGTGGAGATTTTCAGTCAGTACGGAATGAGCGTGGTTACAATATTTTCGCTGGTGCCCTTCGGATTCGGCATGCTGATCAGTGCTCCTTTGGCTGGTAAGAGCACTTTTTGGTTTGTTTTTTGTTTCTACGGCTATCCCAGCCTGGGCTTCACTTCAACCGAAGGCTTGATTCAAATTATGACTCGTGTGGAGGTTTATTCGCTCTATGTACACAAATCCTATATTCGAAAAAAAGGAATGAGATTTTCCAAAAACACAATGCTTTTACTACAGATTGAAATCTCTCCAGTAATTCCCTCATTTACATTTTGTCTTTCCTCTGTAGGCGGCCTGTACGACTTGACGGGAGACTACATCTTGAGCCTTCTGACCATAATGGGTCTCTTCTTGTTTGCATGTAGTTGCATAGTTCTCATTGGCATCAAACGAAGGATAAATTGCAGGCGCAAGAAAGAAGTTGATATCGTGACACGCAGTAATGCGTACGAGCTCGTACAAAGTAAAGACGACAATGTTAATACCACGCAAGTTTAAGGTTTCCCGATAAGCACTGGTTGGAAATGGTGACACGAGTCGACCTGCCAACAATTCCGGAGGAAATCAGTATGTCCACATCTGCGAGTCTGCACAAGCATGCAAATTGTGCCTTCGTTGGAAGGGTCACAAAATATTTTTCAGGATCCGTCCACACTTGTCAAATCTATGGTGCCTTAATAAGCAGCACAAGAATGTGCTCTAAAAAATATTTCAAGGAAAGTTATCGGCTTGTTTCTGCAGTCGAAGAGCAACACTCTCTGAGGATGAATTGTATTTTTGCTATGTATATTTTTGTTTGTTTAATTTCTTAACAAACACTCGATGTAAACAATGATGCTACGCAGCACCATCGTCAATTCTGTAGTTCTGAGGTCTTTATCCAAAAGACGACCCAGCAGCATAGAATGATAAGATCCCCTCAGATGTGCAAGTTTCAATGTCTGATGTCTCCGAAACTGCAGTCCCATTTGGTCGAAACCATAGAGAGGATGTGTACTATACGTATGAAATTGATGTGACCCTTTAAGACGTCATTATTTGATTATTATAATTAACTAAACCGACATTTGAAGACTTTTATAAAAAATATGGGGAGAACAACGAACCAGGGTTCCTGCACCTAAAGGACTATTAAATTCCATGACTTTTCCACGACCAAATTATGAAAATCCATGACAAAATACCGCAATTTCTTGGACAATTTGAACTTTTAAAGTTGTGAATAAAATAACGCATTTTACGCACTTATTTAATAGAAATCACATACAATGTTTGAAAAATTCCATGACTTTTCCAGGCCTGGAAAATTTAAAACAAATTTCCCTGACTTTTTCATGACTTCCAGGCTGCGGGAACCCTGACAAATGCAAAACTAAAGTTTTCTTAGAATACGCACAGATTCGGGAAAATCTATGCCGCAGGTGAAATCATCGAAATGCGACTACATGTGGGCCTATTCAAACTTCATGACATGGACGACCGCGATGAACCTTAGTGTGAAGGTATCGCATATACATATCTACGGCATAACACAATGAAATGACGTCAAATGATGTCACCAAAATATTTTCAATAATTGTTCAAATTTTATTGCATTTCTTTTACCCTATGACCCACTGTGCTAACATTTGCATACTTTAGGCAAGTGTTATTGGAATTTGAAGCGACGTCAGGGTGACGTAATCATGGGCTACAATGGAAGAAAAAACCTCTAGCTGGCAGAATTTAAGTCCGGAAATCCCTTGCAACATGTTTGACAGTGACATTCCTTGAAAATACACACCCAATCTTTGACACGTAGTGGCCACTCATGCCCCGTCTCTGACAGTCAATTCGGACACTGCAAGCAGACGGAGTGAGAGACACTGAACTGATGACCTTTCATAAAAATGGGGTGTAAAAATATGAGAAACATCTAATTCGCTTGCTACATGGCAAGACGGTGTCACTAAGCCATCGGCCGCATTGTGAACTGTGTGAAAAAATGCTTTTGTGCCGGACACAAGACAGTTTACCGGCAGAAGAGATCAAATTAATCTATACATGTATATATTACTATCTAAAAACTATTAATTAAAAACTAAAACAAAAACTTTCAACGTATTATTACTGATCTTTTCAGGATTATTTACACACAATGATAGCATAATTATACTCCTCGTTGTAGGTTATTTTCCTTGGTCGTACTTTGTAGTTCTGTCCGTCAACTGACCGGATCAGGCTGGGCTTTCTAATATTGTTAAACATAGTTACATATGAACTGTTATTCATTATGATGCTATACTACATGAATATTTATACATGTGCAATTCAGTATGTGTCGTGATGTGCGTTATATATAAACCAGTTTCACATGCTATATGAATGTTGGAGCTCATCGCTTCCTGGTTAGCAAGGCTATTCTTCCTGAAATGACATCTAAGCCTGCCCTTCGCCACATATCGTTTGTCCAGTCCGACATTTCCAGAGGTTTGATGTCCCAATCTGATGCTGTGGGAAGCGTAAGCAACAAGTGTGATTTCCAATGAAATCTCATGCTCGGGCAATCGTCATGCCCATAGCTGGCTTTTCCGTACACTGACGTAATTTCAAAAGGTGCTGTCCCAGAGGAATGCAAGTGATACAAAATTCAATATGGAAAAATCCAATCTTAAAAATATATATTCATTATGTATGTTTTTCAATACTCTCTAACAAATCAATGGCAAAAAAATAACATCTCGTTGATTTTTGACTATATTCATTTCACTTCTAAAGGCTTGGTAACATGTAAAAATAGGCCTATTTAAACATTTCTAGTTTATCCTTTAAACAAGAAAGGAGAAGTTGTTCCTACCATAAAGCTGTTCCACTGTTTGGACTGCAGTTGAAAACGGGGGACCTACCGTAAGTCAGAAGAGAGATAGAAGTAAATTGGAAACCATCTATCCGCTCCGAGCAGCACAATGGAGGGCGTGTTTTTTTGGTACTCACCGCACAGGCGCACGCACAAAAGTGTGTTTTTGCCTGCAACTGGGGGCCCCCTATTGTTCCTCTTTTGTTTGTACTTTAACTTTTTTAGAAGGCCACCCACATGTTTTGTACACAGTTGTCAATCGGGGACCTCATTGTCCTCTATTGTTCAGGGCCCCAACTGAATGCAGAAACAAACTCAAGTACATACACGTTTGACGCGGAGCACGCCGAGTACGCGTAACCATCCAATCCGACTAGTAGGCACACTTATAAGTGAGGCTAGTCAGTGTCAACAAAATTTGGAGGCAGAAAGCTCGAACAAGCCTCACTTATAAGTGTGCCTTCTGTATTGCATCATACGATAATATATTAGCACCACAGTTAGAGCATGGCCATTTTGCTACACAGGCCTCGCTTAAAAGTAGCGGTGGGTAGTCGGATCGGGGGTTGTAACCGATTCATTCCGTCTTGTACGATCTTTGCGTACACGCAGAACACGTGCAAGAACCCGCCTGTAACCACCTGTCTTTCTTTCCCTGATTGGGGGTGCACTTCAGCTAAGGGTGGATAGCCCTCCACAACTGGCAGCGGATGCAAATGACCCCCGACCCAAAACACATGAACAGCTGAACCAAGAAAACGAGGAATGGATACATGAAATGTATCAGGAAAATCAACAAAATGTACATATTCTGATGAGGAATAATCACTTACCATTCATTTTGCTCTGATCATATTCCACAGTTTCAAGGAGACACCTGCCCTTCGATTTCAGTATTGACCTCATCAGGTCAGCGTATCTACACGAAAGAATGACCATAACACTGTGAACAGAACTCAAAGAGCATAAAGAACATTTTGTCCAGGTGACCAAATTCCTTCGTCAGCTCTATGATCCAAGACCAATTATTGATTTGAACTACATGTAGATAAAAATCATTATTACATAAATTATTAGTCCGATTAGATTGAAGTTATTCACAATCCAAATGTAGGGAGATTCGCCAATGCATGGAATAATTTTTCAGTAATTCTTAAAACTAAAATGCTTTTAATAATACCAACAAAGTCTGATTAAAGCGGGTACTCAGATGAGGAATGTACCCTCACCTACCTCTGAATGTCTTGGCGAGGCAAGGCAACCAGTGAAGCGCGGTCCCATATGCAGTCAAACTCTCCCATGATATCTCTGATGAAAGCAAATAGGGAGAAATTTTTTTTAAATACCCTAAATTTCACAGGGTAAGGCTTTGAACAACACTTAACAATCCACAAGATGTCTAAATCGTACACTAACATCTGAAACATGTACATGTACTAAAAAATACACAGGCACGTCCTAATCATATAGTAAAATACATTGAATTACATACTTGAAGACTTACTTGTTCAGGTCAAAGATATCTGCTTTATAAATGAAAATGCTGTCATCCTGACTCTGAAAGAAAAAAAAATAGACAATACCACCAACTATACTAATACAAGTTAGGCCTACATCATTTTGACTCAAAAGACAAATCTTATGCAGACAAAAATTCACATGAACACCCATTCTCATTCTGAAAAGTGGCAGCGTACCTTGTACAAATCAGCATCGCTTAATCCTTCTACGTGACTGGTGGTGAAGTCTAATTCGTTCTCCTTGAAGAATGCTTCAATGGCCAAGGTTGCTAGCTCAACTCCCACCACTGTGTGACCTCGATCTGCCAACCTGGAGAAGAAATGTTTCCAACCATTTGAGTATCCCCAACTCCTTGAACAAATTCGATAGCTAGTCCTTGTTTCTCTGCCAAGTCCACCTTTGTGCAGGAAACTGGTCTCATGAGGGCGCACACTATATTTGACTTAAATAGGCGTCACACCTCGCGTACAATAACTGTAGCGGGCTTTGGCAAATCCGGGGAAGGGGGGGGGCAATGGGCCGAACTCATCCTCCAAAAAAGGTGGCTTTTTTTTGTTTTAAATGAGGACAGAAAGACAATTTGTGGGACTGTCTCATTTCCTATCCATCCCATAGTGACGAGAGCCACCCAATTGAGGCCAATTTCCCTAAGAAAGGACATAAAAGGTTATATAGAGACATTTTTAATGTTTTTGAGCCCCCCTCGTTGAACCTGTTGAACTCCTACAAATCCTTCCAAACTGGTTGGATTTTAAAGCTGGAATCCTGGATGGAGGCTTGAATTAACAATACAAGTAGCAATTTTAGAAAAGAAACCTAATGAATCGAAACATTTTTACCTTGAGTTCTTTTCACTCTTACCATTTCAGGTCTTCTGACTTTCCGCACAGCGGAACAAAAATCTTGCATTTCTCCTGCCCTGCTGTCATTTCAGCAATGTACTTCAAGAGACCTCTGTAAGTTTCAAATGTAACTGTTTATTGACAACCAACTATGCAACATTCAGATTAACTCAACCCAGAAACTCTCTTTGTTGCACAGTAGATGCAAGCGGATCTCCAATTAGGTTTCCTAACACTTAATTTGAGTTATATCACCTTGGGTCTCTCAAAAAAACCTGAGCAAATCAAGGTGTTGAATAAGCGACACATGTATCTTGGCAAAAAAACAAATAACATGATCCGAGCACTGCATTCACTTTACATACAAAAACAAAGTTTGGCAACCTTCGCCAGATTTAACAATGTGATTGAAGTTCAATTGGACATTTTCAGAGCATAATTCCGGTACACGGACTTTCTATACTTTCTGATGCCTGTACATTTCTACATACAGTGTTCTGCACATAAACGAGGCATGATTCGAAAAAGCTTGGTGATTGAGTGCAAGGATGTACAAAGTCAAGGCTGACCTTGAAAAATAGCCTTAGGTAATTCAGCAAAGATTAATTGGAAGTGTCCTGAATTTTTACAATGGCATCATTCTAGTTGTGAAATTCTACAGTGTTGTTTCAAAGTACTGATTTACATGTACGTGTAATGGAACAAAGTGTAGAGAATTACTTGATGGAATTATGTTAGCCGTTTCCAAATAGTTGTTGTTGGCTTCGGCTCTTGTATCTCTGATCATTGCCGGCTCTGTCATGGAATGTTCTATCTATTGCGTACAGTTTCCCTCACCACCACCACCCAAGAATACTTACGGATGGACTTCTGATCGGTGAAACCCGATATTGTCTTCCACCCAAAGCCGCTTCCAATATTCATCATCAACTACTTTGGCCATGCCTGCCTAGGAAGTGTGTTAAGATGCCAACCAGGCTTGGACAGGTTGACGGCGATTCTGCAATTAAAACGCACAGTTTCTAGAACATAAATAGCAGTTTATAGCGGGATAACTTGTAACATCACAAAACCATTAAAATTGTTCTTTGTATGAACTATGAATGATAGATATCATAAAGTGTACATCAAGAAACTCAAAGGTTCCCAGCGAGTCTCCAGGGGAGCCTTCAACTTCTATATATATAAAAGTTGAAGTAGCCATGATGTGCCTATGGTTAGTCCATTTGTACATGAAAATTGGAAATGCTAAAAAGCATGAAAAGCCATGATTCTTAGTTAAAATAATCACTCGACTTGCCAGAACTGAATACCGTCACTCCTCTCCCCAAAGATTTCTTGAGGTCTTCCGGGATACGGTTTGATATTGGATACCCCACCGAAAGGGTGAAATCTACGAGTGATTTCCTTACCCACACCACGCAACAACTACAGCAGCTGCCTACTCGGTGCACCTTCACGCTCGGTGTTCATTACCTTTAGTGCCCTGTTATTGTGGGCGCAATTTCTTTTGCACACGAACATGATCCTTGACCTTTCTGTTTTCTCAAAACCATTTATTCAATGATTTCACTCACGTTATTCTGGTATTTTCCAGTCTTTTTGCCTTTATCCATTCAATCTAACGTGCTCGCTCTCTCAGTCGCCATCTTTAAAATAAAGTTGTTGAACAATACGTCACTTGACCGCTCATCGTCTCGACGGCTGTTCCATGTCGAGACATACGGACTGAGCGACAAGATACTACATGTACCAACGGGCTCTTCCAAAACTTTGGCAGCAGTTTATTAATTAATTTTTAATTAGTTCGACCCTTTCCAGCATCAGTTGTAGAACTGATCTTTGAAAGGGTTGATGTGAACGGCATCAATAAGTTTCTAGATGAATTGTACTTCAAGAACTTTATCATTCTTATTTTTTTAACTTGAGTGTATCAATTGGAAATGAAATGTTTGGCTGTGCTTTTGTTTTCTGTTCGTTTTTAATAGGCTCGTTTAGTTTGCGGAATAACCCAGTTTCCCCTCAATTTATTGTGTTTAATACTTCACTTATTTTTGTACCCTTACATAATTTAAATCAGTAACAGTATCATTGGGTGCTCATAATACCCTATTCACAATTTATGTAAATGCACATTTACATATTTATTATAATGTCTATAATATTTCAACTATTGTCATTAACGTCAATGTCAGCATTAACAAATTAAAAATACAATAGAAATAATGGGCATGGCGAGGAGGGAAGGGGTGCCTGCTCGTTTCTCAAAAGAAAACTTTAAAAAAATGACTTCTCAAACCTTGATCTACTTTTTTTCGGGTTTCATAGCTTAAAAAAAAGTTGAAAATATTCATAAAGACTAGTAACAGGCAGTCAATTTGTTGGCCTGATTGGAGATGAAATTGACCTGGCGTGACCTCACAAATATATTTATTAACCTTGCGCGAGGATGAGCGGCTACCATGACACAAGGGGGGATATCAGCTAACGAACGGCAGACTAAGCCTAGGAGCAGTTCGTTTGGTGGAAATTTACCACCACTTAGGAAAGAAAAATACTGGTATCAGAGCAAGGAAATATACGGAAACCTTAATAAACCTCACAGTGACACAGGATTTGAAGGACAACTAATCAGTGCAATAGGTTTATTAAAAACATAAACCAACGAGGCATATCAAAACACACTAAGGTTTATTTATACAATACACCTCACAAGGCAATCCAGTAAACCTCACGTGGTAAACCAAATCACCTGGCAACTCTAACATAAGCTAGACTATTGCCAACGATACACACTACAGTGGTAATGTACGTTGAGTACGTGGATAATAATCCTCACTACCAGGGTCGATTTATCCGAGGGAATATAAACCTTACAGGAACCAGAGCGCTCCCAGTAACCCTTAAGGCAAGTAACTTCATTACACACACTCAGGTTTTAACGGTGGCACACAACTGTCACGGGAGAAGCAAATGCATCAAGGGAAAAGCAAAAGCGCTACAGAAATGGGCAATAAAAGCAGTTTTGACCGTATACAAGTTTAAAATACATGTAGTAGCCTCAACCCTAATGAATGACAGTACTGTAATCAATATACGGGATGAGGTAATTCAGGTAACCTCAACGAATCTTATAGAACAACAAGGAATATTTTTTTATTGGTCCAACTAGTAGGCTTAGGTTCTAGTCCTGTATGGCAAAGGCTTTAATCACACAGAGAGAAACCGCTCGTATATAGGAATTTCGTAAACGTGCTGTTTGTCTTGCCGACATCGGAAATTGAGACGACAATCGTAAGACTCGTGTAGTGCCAGAAGTCAAGACTGTCACTCTGAAAAAGGTCGACCGTTCTCCGGTTGTGGTCCATAAATTAGTCCTTGTTTTTACAGTCCATTAAAAGTTCTTGGTGTTTACAGGTTTCACAGAAAAACAAAATATAAACGGTTCCTTGAGTGGCATTGGCTTGAAATAAAAGTGCAAAAAAAAGAGAGAATTCCTGGGCATTACTGATAAAGTCCAACCTGAATTTCAGAATCACGTTGATGCCATTCGGACGTGTCGAGCAAAATAATAGGCAAAATGAATATTCCGAGGTTTTCTAACCAAGCATGTCTCAGTAACTCTATGATAATTTATTTCCCTTCTCATATTTATATTCCACAATCCGTTTGGGGTGGGTCTCCATCGTATGATAAACTTCTTCTTATACAAAAGGAAACTTTGTGATCCATTTCTACTACTTATCGAGCTCTTTCGACGCCATCATTAGCAAATCTGAAACTCGAACAGCTCTGTAATGGTGCCTGTCACTTCTTGGTGAGCAAGGCTATTGTTCCTGACACAGCATCCACCCCTTCCTTTCGCCATAAATCGTTTGTCAAGTCCAGCACTTCCAGAGATTTGATGTCCCAACCCGATGCTGTGGGAAATCCAATCGTAAAGTATGACTTTTAATGCAAGTTCGCGTTACAATCCAAAACATTTGGTTAATTTGCCTATAACGCCTATAATGCCTATAATGCCTGACGTAATTTCAAGAGGACTCTACATTCGTCAGTGCTTATTGTCTAAGAGGAGTACATGTACATCGTGAGCTGGCCGGGGCCTCAAGCCAAAACTCTCAGAAAGAGTTTGAATGGAACTTCGCATATTCGAGAGATTGGAATTTTAAAATTATGCTGGTCTTGGGAAAGACCCAGCATTCCAAAGTATTCGACGGATATGTTGCATTTGTATTGAAATTTAACTTCTAAAATTCAAACTTAAAACTTACATTTAACATAGGCCTATTTCAAAACTTTTTTACAAAGAATCAACGAAAAAAATACAACTGACTGACTTTTAAATGTTGTAAACTAAATTCACTTTACTTCTTCAAGCTTATTTATTATATGGTTTTAGCTTCCTTTCGTGTTTTTTTAAAGAAAAACAAAAATGTTCCTACCATAAAGTTGTTCCACTGTTTTGAACGGTGTTGAAAATGGGTGACCTAAGTTAATAGAAAACAGAAGCAACTTGACAGACATTCCTCTATTGATGCAAATGACTCATGCAAACACCTGAACTGAGAACATCAAGAATTAATATTATAAAAAATCAAATCAGATGAAGAAATGACTACTTGCCATGCATTTTACTCTGATCATATTCCACAGTTTCAAGGAGACACCTTCCCATCGGTTTAAGTATCGACCTCATCAGGTCAGCGTATCTACAAAAAAATAATAACATCACACTGTATAAGCATACTCAGTCAAATCGCATAATAAAACCACGTCTGGGGGACTACATTCCTTCGTCTGTCAGTTATCTCCAATCCAAGAACAATGACACAGTTTGATGTTTCAAAAAGCAAGGTTATTCGGCAGCAAAGCACGTGCGCAAGTCCGCGAATGGCCGCGCTATGATTGGGCAGATCTCGCACGTTTGTCCAAATGACCCTGCTGCTCCATTTTGGACATGCGCTGTTGGAATACCAAACTGGTTCATTCGTTGTATTTGAAGATTTTTTTTATCACAAAGCAAAATATTAGTGTGACGAGACTCAAATCTTTGAAACCCTGAAATTATTTTGAGATACTTATGAAATGTTTTTGTAAGTACGCCGTTTCTGATTCAGCAGGTATTGGTACTCAAAAATCTGGAAAGCAAAACCAACATACCTGTGGATGTCTTCTCGAAGTAGGGCAACTAGTGAAGCGCGGTCCCAAATGCAGTCAAACTCTCCGATGGTATCTCTAATGAATGCAAGTAGGGAGAGTAAGTTAAAGTCTGTTACCTTCAGATTCACGGTTTCAGGCAATGTCGTCCGTGCACAACTGTTTACATTTCAGATGTCCAAATCAAAATTGTACTAATTGTATGCCCGTTCGAAAAATACACAAGGAGCACCCTAATCAAAGAAACTCGAAGACTTACTTGTTGAGGTCGAAAATATTTGATTTATAAATGTTAATGCAGCCATCCTTACTCTGGAAGAAAAAAACACAGAAAAAGCATCATGCAACTAAAACTAACAAATTACATCGTTGTTAAAAAAGACCAAATGTGGACAGAAGAGAATTCACACCAACAACAATATTCTTTCTGAAACCTGGCAACGCACCTTGTACAAATCAGCATCACGTAATCCTTGCACACGACTGGTGGTGAAGTCTAATTTGTTGTCCTTGAAGAAAGCTTCAATTGCATACGTTGACAGCTCGGCTCCAACTACTGTGTGACCTTGATCTGCGAGCCTAGAGAAGAATATTTGCAATCACTTTAGCAGACCAGCTCCTTTATGATTTTAGTGGCGATAAAAAGTAAACATTAGAGATCTGTAATCATAACGACCAAGAGTTCTTTTCATTACCATTTCATGTCTTTTGACTTTCCACACAAGGGAACAAATATCTGGCATTTTTCTAGCCCCGCCGTCAGTTCAGCGATGTACTTCACTAGACTTCTGAAAAATTGAAATTAAATTATTATTATAATTAAGTTATAATGCTATAAGGTTGTTTCTCTCCTGTGGAACCAGGAACCACATTAAGATACAGAGTATCACGAAAAAGGAGGATTATGTCATGATCCTGGATGACAATGTGAAAGTGTCTGCTGAGAAACTCCAGCTTGGAGCTGATTGGACGTACCAGCAGGAGAGTGACCCCAAGCACACCACCAATGTAGTAAAGCAATGGTTCACCGACAGTGGTATCCATGTACTGGAATGGCCAAGTCAAAGTCCAGACCTAAGCTAAATCCAATAGAAAATCTGTAGAGGGAGCCAAAGACTGGAGTGATGACCAGGAGACCATCCAACCTGACCCAGCTGGAGGCTCTCCCCGAGGAAGAGTGGACCAACATCCCATAGGAGACATGCAGAAAGCTTGTGGACACTTATTGGAACCGTCTTGAGGCAGTCATCAAGACCAAAGGCTACACTATTGACTACTAAGAAAAGAAAATGGACTATGTAAACCTTTTGTATGAACAGTTTTGAAGAGGAGCAAAAACTACACCCAGGCCGTATCTAAAGATATAGCGGAAGTACCAACCTATAATAGCTTTTACAAATGAAGAATTTGGAAAAGTATGTTAATTTCCAAAGGGTATGAATACTTTTGAGCACAAATGTACAGTTGGGCGAGCTCAACTGCAGTACTGTCCTAGTGCTTGTTAGCCTGAAGCTGTGGGGCGTATTATACTGCATACTCACGGATTGACTTCTGATCGGTGAAAACTGATATCATTATTCACCCACGCCTGCCTCCAATACACATCATTAAATATTGTGGCCATGTTTGCCAAGATATCACATCTGCCTGCCAGGTTTGGAGGTCATGGCAATCCTACAAAAAACAAGACAAAACTGAGCTCACTTCACGCAGCAGATATTTTAATGTGGTATTCAGTATAGATACATTTTAAATAGCCCTACATTTGTTCTGATATTTGCACGAAATTTTGAAACATTTTGTGCACTATTCCTTGGATTTTGCCCACCGTGACAAAGCACACATACTACGAGGCAAATCTGTCAATGCGAACAGGCCAGAACTGTGCAAAACAATGAATGATAAAAAAAATCGCAAAAGGTTCAGGACAAAAGTGAACTTACGTTCTGATAGAACAAACATAGTGCTAGAGAGAGCTAGAGAGACAGATCGTCACGGTCGCGTTCGCCACGGCGAAGTACGTCGCGTAGGCATACAAGAATACGGCGTTCATGTCTGGTTCGAACTAATGAACTAAAACCCATTGTTGCAGACTAATATTAATGAGGATACAGTTAATTTATGATTTTGACCATGAACAACCACTGGGGTGACTTTACATCAATTTACATATAATACATAATACAAAGTACATCAATTTAAATATAATATCAGGACTACGTTGAGTGAGGAGGAACACTCGAGCTTCGTGAAAAAGCGCGTGGTGTGGAAACCTGGCAGCAACCGTGACCCTGACAAAGTCTGACCCCCACAATAACGTACAGGATGCCATAACAGTACATAATATACCACACAACTCATTACAGGTTTATTTTAGGTAAGGCCCCCATCAAAATGCATGGCCGGCTGAAGCCGCTGAGCACTCCATGGGCCGGAGAGCCACTTCACATGTACACTGCACATGTACATGTAAATCACACAGGAAATGAGCTCGATTTTGACGAAAAATGTGATATTTGTCTTCGAATCCGCAAGCCTATATGATTAGGAATTTCACTTTATTATATTAAAATTATACCTATGGTGACGAAAGATGCAAGGGGCAGTTTTTCCATTGACGTGCAGCGGGAAGTAAACTCTCACAGGCTTAGTCCCCAAAGGAATCGATAATGATATGCTGATTGGACATGAAAATATGTATTTTTGATGACTAGCATTACCTACATCTAATGGAGCTCGGTATAGGACTTGCCTTATGCTGCCGAAAACTGTGAAGTGTCTCTAGATGGTATATAATATCTCCATATTTTCGGATGAACAGCTATGAATTTGAGTTTCTGCAATGCATAGGACCTCAGTGTCGTACGACGCCCGTTAGTGGCGGGACCTTTGGCCACTGGCAACTATTTAACCGTACACCGAACCGTTCCTAGGAAATTGGTTTGTTGAATCAATAATGGCAGGCAAGCCAACAACAAATTTGTACTGTATTCGGCAGGATAAGATTACCACACAATTGATCGTGGTACAGGGTTAAAATAAAGTCAACGAGAAAGGCCGCAACTCGTTCCAGAGGTTAACAGGCTTCCATCCTGCCCATCGAATTTCTTTGGTCACTTTATGATTAACTTTCAAAAGTACAAAACGGCAGATTTGAACGTACATTCAGAGGTTAAGAAAGACGATCCTCTCTTTAGGAAAAAGGCCAGTAGTCGAGTATGATTTTTAGATAAAATATACACGTACATACACTTATGGGAAGAACATTATAATTTATTTCCACTTTACCCCAAAAACCTGTTTCTGGAAGAACTAAAAAACATTTCTCACAAATTACCATCGAACCGATTCGTGGTTACGGCCGCTGCAAAACGCACCCCTGTGAAGAGGCTACAAAGCTTATAATGGGAGGCTTTGCGGCGCTTGGTTGCAGCAAACATACCGTTCCTTTCTATAAGTTCTTTGCCTTTGCGTATTTATTGGGGCGCAATATTGTGTCCAAAAAGTGGCATGTCTGCTGCCACCAGCGTACCAGTCTCAAATTCAGAAGAGTTTAACTTCATCTTTCCCTTTATATTCCAAAATGCATGACAGGTTGAACAATTTTGCCTATAATGACAAGTATTTCAACAGTTCTTCAAACCTATATCATTCACACAGGCGATACTGGGCTTCTGCTTCCGCTGGACAGAATTTTTTATAGTGATCGTGATGAGGACGAGGAGAGGCATTTATTCAATGCTGTCATTCTTACAAATTTAAAGTTTGCATAAACGTGTCGAATTACAGATGTGCAGTGGTATACTAATAACATGTGTACATAGCAAATTGAAGGCCTAGATACAAGCAGCAGCAGCCTAGGCTATAGATGCTCCATTGAGTATTCCATTAAAAATCAGCAAATTTTGATTTCGCCAAAAGCAAGGTTTTTCGAAGGGGGATGGGGGAAACTTTTCTTCCACAAATCCATTCCAGCGGCATTTCAAAACATCAAAGACTGATGCCTTGGTAGTAATGCTTCGCCATAGGCTCTGTTCGCTATTTCTTGGTAAGAAGACTCGTTCTCAGTATCATGACGTCTAGTCCCTTGCTTCTCCATCTATCATCGGTTCCGTCTTTGACCTCCAAGGGTTCGATGCTCCAGCCCACAGCTAAGGAAACAAAGTAAAACACGTTTGCATCAAAACCTAACTACTCTGTCATCTACTTAACAAATATGGACAAGGAAAAGGTCTGAAATTTGGAAATAACAAATGCTCAATTATTGCTCTTACCAAATAGCTGCTGTATCAGTTCTAACGGTGTTGAGAAGGGAGGACCTGAGCGTGAGGAAAAAAAAGGCGATGTAGTAAAAGATCATGCTTTTTAATTATTTATTACCTAATTAAAGGGACATGCAATGTACATGTAATTTTGTTTGTGTGACGAATGTTACTATTGAGTCCGGATAGTCATGTAGAGTATACCGGTAGCCGTATTTCAATACTTGTTTTGCAGTGTCAAGGGCGTATTGTACCTCCCGCTGATGCAAATTTGCATTTTTAGTGTGATGTTATCCAAGGTAAAAACAAAGTGGCTATAACCAACTTTCGCATAGTTTAAGTATTTTATTATGAAATATGTTTCTTTGTTAATTTCCATAAATTGGAATAACAAAATTTCTCACCGTTCATTTTACTTTGGTCGTATTCAACAGCTTCCAAAAGATACCTGCCTTTCGGTTTCAGTACTGAACCCAGCGGATCTGCATATCTGCAAGAATGATGGCATGGTTATATCATACCACAGAGGAAGGACACAGAAGGAGTTTGAACTGCCCAGGCCATAACATATCTGGCCAATTACCGCTTTCTGGCATGCCCGGTATATCCATAAACCAGAGCGCAGCGTGGAGTGCTCGCTACGCGCCATCTGTTTCACAACCTCGATACCTGTGTACCCGAAGATCGCTACCACTGATTGTGATACTGTATTAAAAAAAATCTCTTGTGGACCTGAGACTTCTGTCGAAACCCTTGTACTTCCCTGTACATTTTGTAACTTGCGAATTCTGCAAACCCCCTAGCAGCGGTGTTACTTATAAAAGCAGAAACCGTTTAAGTTCCAACTCATGCGTACAACCCAAGAAGCACTGTTTCCCAAGTCAACCTCGGTATTGCTGTGGTTGTACAGTGAACCAATACTTGCTGAGCCGAAGTTAAATGTTAATGAAAAACGTAACAATTTAATAGTGTACGTCATCTGACCATAATTTACGCAAAACTATTCAGACAAGTGACCACTGGACTTAAGGACTTGACAAGTATGGGTGTGATTATTGCTGGCAATGATCACTTTTGAAATGCAGGACGATCTTCGAGCACTATTGTTTGACAAGCCCTGAAATTTAACAAGAATTATGTTAGGAATTTAGTGAGGCACGTCCTCGATCTCAGAATGCCCAAGCTGTATCTGGAGACTAAGATATAGTTTTGGCATGCTTTTATATGTTTCAGTTTTTGGGAAATCCTCGGACTTTTCACTTTGTGTCATTAATGTAAATTGTGCTGTTATATTTATTGCCTTAATTTGCATATCAAAATACAAGAAATTTATGATACAATTCCTTAGTTTTAGTAGGACTGGTACTGATAAAAATCCTCGATATTGACAAAGAATTTAGGGGTGTACTCGCGTTAGCAGCCAACGAGCAAGGGAGTTTGAGGAGACTAATCTTTGATTTGTATGAGAATTAAGAGATACCTTTCCTGATCCTCACGAGGCAACGAAACAAATGCTCCGCGGTCCCATGCACAGTCGAATTCTCCCAAGATATCTCTGTATTGAAATCAGAATGTAACTTTTTACAATATAATAATTTTATAACCAATTAAACCTTCAGCATCAAAACACACCATAATACAAATCGTTTGTTCGCATATTAAAGAACATTTCTGTAGCAATGACGGTCGAAAATACAAAACTTATTAAACTTTACATTGAGAGGTTCTTGAATAATTGCATACTTTTGCTGTTTTCAATCATAAAATATAATGAGTGAAATTTATTTGGCAACAATTAAAAACTAGGGTTTGGTAAAGTTTTCAACAAAAGGCTGAAGTAGGGGACCTACGCCAAAATGACGTTCTGTCAATATCACTACTGGCCTAGACTAACGTTCTTTAAACATTTTCCAGGTGAATGTAATAAATGTTGAATATTGCAAGAGCATGATTTACATGGCGCGGAACTAAATTTCAAAAATTTTGAAACATTCCCGTCACCTTAAAAGGCGTAACATACCTATTTAAATCAAAGAAATTGGCTTTGTAAATCTGAATGCTGTCATCTTCACTCTGAAAAGAAAAAAACAATATTAGCTTCAAGATATCCATCTTTAAAGGTAGGATGCAGGTATGAACAAATATTATTGTACCAAAAATTACTAGCTGTATACCTTGTACAATTCAGCATCACTTAAGCCTTCCACATGACTGGTGGTGAAGTCTACTTGGTTCTCCTTGAAGAAAGCTTCAATGGCCAAGGTTGAGAGCTCGACACCCACCACCATGTGGCCTTCATCTGCGAGCCTAAGGATTCATACATAATAATACGAAGCCTCCTTCAAAATCCAATAGTTCATCGGGAGGATTTTGGTAGATCCCATGCATTAATTAATGGGAAGAACTTTCTTTGAACGGCTTGCATACTAACCATTTCAAGTCCTTCGATTTTCCACACAGAGGGACAAAAAACCTGCATTTTTCTTGCCCTGCCGTCAAGTCAGCAAAATATCTCAAGAGAGTTCTGAAATTTGAGAAAAACAATCCAAATATTAATTACATGACAAAACAACAAAGTCATCCGATGGGATGATTTTGTTTGATGCACACTGTAGACAAGCGGATTTCTATGATTCTGAGGGTTTGCATAGAGTCACATGAGTTTTACGCCTCAACAAAGATCATGACCATAAAAGTGTTGAAAACCTGAGTCAGACAATCACATCAACCTTCGCCTGCAGGTGTTACATTTAATTTGCACCATGCACCCGATCCGAATATCCCCGCTGCTATCAAAAACGGTGAAATAACCCTGTTTGGAAAAGAGCTGAAATATATTATGGTGTAACCTCATCATTACGTAAGGCATTACGTAAGGTCGCGGGAACAAAAGAAAGAAGTGGTCGAGGGGGCTTAGGTAGTGTAGTTGGTAAAGGAAACGATTAGTATTGTGTGCGTTCTTTGTTCAATCAACCAAGGTTGTTGTGGAAACAAATTTGACGTCAATGACGATCTATTTCGGTTGAATAACAAGCTCTAAGTGCAATGGACCATCTCTTTCCCACCGAGCCCTATATAATTAACATTCTACAGTACTTTTATTTATCTTCGCCACGCCCTCTGAATACTCACGGATGGACCTCTGTTTGGTGAAATGGGATATCGCTAGCCATCCATCGCTTCCTCCAATATTCCTCATCAAGCCCTTTCGCCATAGTTGCCCAGAAAGAAGTAAACAGCTATAGTGAGATGACTTCAACTGTGTAACACAAGACAAAACTTTCAATAGGTCTGCAGCAACAGAAAATGCAATACTTGATAACCACGCCCTTTTAGGGTCATTATGTAACTTGAGGTCAATGCAACATTGTACTGATATTTTTACAACATAATACATTGTAATAACGTTGTTACAATGACATGCGACCACTGTCATACAACACCAACCAATAGTCACAACATTCATGTTAAGCATACTATTTTACAACACCCCTTGCAGTTAAACGTTAATAACATTTTCATTGAATCAAATTGAAAATTGATACTATTTTTAATAAAGTTATTTTGCCCAAAGTTTCGAAAGTGATTGTGTGATTTGTAAGCACTACTGACACTTTCATAGACCCAAACGTCCATGGAAATACGTATATAAGAATGTTTGACGTTTTTCATATTTATTCAACGTCACCTACGTACATCTTATCTAAAATTAGTGTGATTCTGAAACATCATCGAGACATATGTGAGACGCAAATCGACAATAATAAAATGATTTTTTTTGAGAACATCAACGTGTTTCGTTTATCTTCTTTTTCAAATATGTCTCAAACGTCAATTTGTGTTTTTTTAATTAGAATTTATGATGTATGCTCACCGCATTTAAACGTCAGCGTTAGTTCAGATTAACCAAACATCCATGAAAATGTTTTAAGAACGTTACAAAAATGTTAGTATAATATTTGTATGATATTTTCTGATCACGATAACTTCGGTACTCTATAGGTTGGGAAGTGCACGGCGTTTCGATGCTCTGACTCAAATACTTCTGGAACGCCAAAGAGGCATTTAATGTGATTGCCAAATCGGTGATGCGCTTAGCTATCGCCGGATGCATATTCACGATTGGTGATCATCCGTCATCTAGTGACATATATTCACTAGAGGTGATGGGCGTTTCCATTGTTGATGCATTTTTGGAACCGGTGATGGGTGTTTGCGATGGGTGATGGACTTTCGCGATCGATAATGCTCTTTCATTACCGATTAATGGTAGTCGGTGATGGCTTTTTGTGATTTGTGAAGGGCTGTCGTCACTGATGCATTTTCGTGTTTTGGGCTTCATTTCTTCTTATTAATTCCGCCAACTTTTCAAACGGTTCTTTCTCCAGAAATCAAAATATTATAACAAGGGGATAACCCGAATAAAATACGTGTGTTTTAATGTTGTTTTGAGTCCCATCTAAATAAGTACAAACAGCGTTATTCATATTATAAGCACATGATTGTACATGTACATGTTTATGCAGAACACTTTGCACTGAAATTGACCAGCACAGGTATGTAGCTTGCAAACTTAAAGTCTCCTTCTGTGGACCTGACCTGGGGGTGACTCTGGTCACTTGACCCAAAAACCTTTAAAAAACAAATCCCATTTTTTGAGTCCGTTTTGCATGGTACTATTTTCCATGTACATCTATAAGCAGAAATGCTGCATGAAAAAGTCTCGTGGTCATTCGCCACGTCAGCTACAGCTTCAGAGTAGGACAAGGGAATTGCAATTTTTGTTGTCCGGATAAGCCAAATGATAGTCTTTTTTTCTTTCTTATCCCCTTCCAGTGATTATAGATGGATGTCTTGGAGATTAATCTGTAAGATTACACTTCTACTCACAAGTTGATTGGAAAGAGGGATTTAGGTGTAACAATGAGAGTCTGTTTTTTGTGACAAGTAATCCAATTTAGTCATATACGCAACTATTGCTTATAAAAGTTAAGTTAAGCTTAGATGGGTTTAGTGACTAGATGTTAATTTTGTTCTAACCTAGATTGAACCATCATCATCGCCGTCTACTGCAATTAATAAATGAATAAATGGTGGTGAAATATACTGATGCATCCAATGCGTTGAGATTCGACAGTGGCAAATTCCCTTTGAAGTTTTTCCGTTTACAGCTATTATGTTTAACTACCTGTATATCAGGTGTATCTTTGTCTTTCAGAGATTAAGCAACAGCAACTGAAGAACAAAGAAACAAACCAACAAAAAAACACAAAACCTGAAATTTGCGGGACCCTTTGGTCACACCGTGACCCCTAGGGTGCGCCTCTGCAGGTATGTTGCAGTTTGACTCGGACCACGTTGAGGACATCTGTTCTCATATCCTTCTGCACCACTGGCACAGGTATATGCTTTTCTATATCTGTACTGACACCGAGCAGTATTTGCGTATGTTTAATTTCTACATTTCAATTTGTATAATCTGCTTCTCATTAGAATTAGAGATACATATAATTTACTCTTAGCATAGACTACATTTGTACAATTTTGTGCAAGACCCCTCGATCTTAGTTTGAATCCCTGAATGATCTTAGTCGTTTTCGCATTAACCCTTTCCAGCCCAGATGGCAGTCGCCATAGCAACTACTCCAACTCCATACCTTATGTTCCCCTTGGGTCCCACAACCGTTCTTATGAGTGACCTGCCTGTGCACTGACCACATAGTTTGATCTTCATTCCCACCATTTCTGTTTCTAGTACTGTCAGCCCACATGCACGCCTTTTGTACAATGTACATGTACATGTGCAGTACTTACACATGTACAGTACATTTACAGTACATGTACTGTACATGTACATGTACTGTACATGTGTAGTACATGCTTTTACACCAGTATACAGTTGGAAACCCAGATTTCAGGAACACACCTAACGTACAAAACCTTCCGTCAAGTATAGCCTCTGCCGATTCCACACCTCCATCTCTCTGTTTACTCTCATTCCATACATCCGTTGATACTACGTTTGATATGCATTTCGGTCTATAAACTTCAACATCGAGTGATCAATTCTAAATATCAAAGACTTCATGTCTTTTATCAATCAAAATTTCAAAGACACTATTCAGTTTGGGAGATTTGAATCCTTCTTTGGTGTTCCCCATAATAAATGATTGACTTATCTTTTCCTTGGACTAAGTTCTATTTATATACATGTAAATTCCTGACTAAATTCCTTCATTTTGGGGGTTAAGATTATTTTCACAAAATCAGTATGATATAGAATATGAGATTGTTATGAAAAATCAAACCCTTAGTCTTGATTAAAAAAGTGAAAATTCCAATAAGTCCTCAAAGAACGGCTTTTCGCTGGAAAACTTCAATAAAATCACATTCATAGGCCTAAATCTCTAGGTGATACTTGTTATACATACTAGAGTGCTTTATGATTCGTCAGTTCAAAATACGATCTTTGATGGTCTGAAAAATCATGAATCGGCTCGATGGTGTTGATAGCGTCGGTCGATTGTCAAGCGCTAAAGCCGATATAAGCCGAAGGTCTTTTTCTCTCCGATGATGACGTATTCTAAACATTGCACCCATAAAAACCAAACGATTTTCGACCGAAAGTGACTCGGACCGACCTAAGAGCACGAGTTTGCGAAGTTTGCCGTCAAAAGTGCCAACCACTGTGTGTGGAGCAATTCAAAGGAATTGCACAGCGATGTGTGCGTTGCGCGAATAAACGAATGAGAGCTCAAGTTTTGACAACGCAAGTGTTCGTGTGGGCGAACTGCCTATTTTTAGGCTAGTTGGACATTTAAAAAATAAAGACAACTTCTGCCTTTCTGCATCTTCAGTGACATTTCGTTACTGTGCAAATTGACTAACAAACCAAAAAGCTTTCCTTACAGGCTGGAGGCATTTACTCACCTGACGCGCGGGAACTTGAAGGCGTCTACGTGTCACTGCCACGCGTACATTTCGCTTCTCGACCGCCGTCTCTGCCAGGGTGCATTCCACCAAATGCTTGTATTTCTGCGCGCGAACTCATTAATATTTTGTGATCCCACGGGGTTTTTTACAATAAGACAGGCCATATAATCAGGAGGCATCATAGAAATATTTCTATAAATCTCGAATTTAGGACTGATAGTCTCCAGTTCAGGGTATTTCTTTCCCAAAAACCCGAAATTGCGAACCTATTTTGGATAGAGGCGGACGGTTACATTCAGAAATGAGCGCTTAGTTTTATTGCTATTTGGGGGGTATCTTCGTTCAAAGGAATAAAGGAATAAAAAAATTTCGCACTGTTTTCTATGGGCGCGTATTTGGAGTTGTGCAACCTGAAAAGGGCGAAGAGCGCCCTCCAGAGTTAGACATATGAGTAACAACATAAAAGTATGATTATACGGTCCTGCATCCGAAAAGCTGAAAAAAATAATCTTTATTTTAGGAAACGACGCCCAGAATAGGTCTTCAGTGTTATTTTGCTTTTAGGCTGGTACGTACAGTGTGCATAAATTTCAATGTGCCACATTTCTTGACCCGTTGCCAATCGTACTCGCACACAAATCAATTGTCCCGTTCGTCTAGGACCTCATGGGGTGAACCCAAATTGGAGGTTTCCATCTTAGCACCTAGCGCAGCCTTTTCGCCTCTAAAAACAACTAGATAGGGCCGGGATGTCTGTCCCCTCTGTTGCGATTGGTGAATTTCAATTCACTGTGCGGTTTGAAGCCTGCTATGTAGCAGTCTTCATATTATACCATGTAAATGCCATTACCAAAACACAATTAGGTATAATAAGCACCTGTCTTAATGTTACTGTTAAAGAAAAGCCTGATTTTGAAAGGAAAGTTTGCCAGTGCAACTATCAAGTGGCTTCCAGTTCGTACACGCGTGGAAGTTAAGATCTTACTTTTTGTTTTCAAGGTGTTGTGGTAAAAGCACAAAGTTACCTGACTGATTCGATTGTCAGACTCTGTTGTGCTTATGACTTACACAATCAGGATACCTCGAGTCTTCAACCGGGTTCCTCCGTCGTATGATAAACTTAACAACAGGGCAGTTATTGCTGGACCAACGTGGAATTCTTTGCCAAACCAGTAGAAAGATATTATTACGAATGAAAACGAGTTCAAGCGTGCAATCAAGACGTACCTTTTTGATAAATGTTATAATTAACAAGGTCTTATACATATAATTTTACGTTTTATTAATCGTGTGGTTGAACCTGTAATTTGCATGTAGTTTCGTAGTTTCAAATTACAATTTTAATTGTAGTTTTTATATAATTGCTATTGTGTAATCATATTTTTTGCTATTTTGATCTGCACAGCGTTATTGAATATTAATAGAAATGATGCTTAAGAAATGAAATAAATGTCTGAAAAGCAAAGGTTAACCTAAAAGGTATGTACAGTTGGTACATACAGTTGGTACAGGAATAGGCCCTGTAAGTTAAGTTGCATTTTGTCTAAAAATTTATTAAGAATCAAGTTTAGACACTGAGGTACAAGTTTAAAGGCGCTGTCTTAGTGATACTCAATTGAAAGATAAGGTCAGCTACAAGTATAACCTCACAATATACATATGAAGCTTTAATTAAAAAACAGTTACGCCCAAAAATATACAGGTATACGACTTGTATATAAAGTCAACTTTACAGTTTAAAAGACAGTTAAGTCGTACTTTGTCCAATTATTCCTGTTAACTAATAACTGTTGTCTGCAACTTTCAGGTCGACAAATTTTATACCAATTAAGCAGTTTTGGTTTCCTTCCTCTTTGTGAAATTGGGCATTACAAATGGGAAAGTTCTGATTTGTTCATGAATAACATTCAAACCCATTAAGGTTGGTGTTCATCCTCTGATATATCATATGCATGACTGTACAGAGCTCATCGTATGTTATTTTAGTCAAAGATCGACAAAATTCGGAATGAATTTCACAACACAGAGAGGTTTGGTAGAGGCTCTGGAGAGACGTTTCTACTTCTGGACAATTTCTCAGCGGTGTCAAACTATGCAACTGAAAACTTCATAGACGGGCCTGAGAAGTACCTCTGAAACTTGTCATGACCAGCTTCGTTGGTTATTTCTTGGTTAACAGGGTGGTTAGTCCTGTCATAGTGTCTAGGCCTCTGCTGCGCCATTTGTCACTCATCACGTCGGTGACCTCCAACGATTCGATGTCCCAGCCAGCAGCTGGAGGGGGAGAAAGAATTGTGGAACCTACATTACATCACAAATAATTCATTTCAATAGAGGGTTTGCATGGCTGCCATCTTGCAGGACAGTGCTTTTGTTCCACAGGGTGAGCACAAAAGGAGGTTTCCATGTGGACGAAAAGAACTGCCATGCAAGACGGCTACCTCTCTTAGTCAAACGAATGTCACGACGCAGATGAAAGCCACTTTAATAGGAGGAACGCGTGCGTTTTTATACTTTTCTGTTAAAAGAAATAGCCCAAAAGGACAGAAATGTTTGATATTGAATGTCAGGGGTTCGCTCAAGATTCACTTCATTTGTAACAGCCGTGCGTTTGTGGCTTTCTTTGCTGGCATGATGGCATTTGAAATATTTAGTCAACAATTACTGAGTTGCTTTTACCATAAAGTTGCTCCACAACTTTTGCCGGAGTCGAAAATGGAGGACCTGAACGAGAAGAAAAACACACTGAATAGTTAGACAATGGAAACCTTTTTTCTGATTGTAGACAGTGATCATTGTGCATTTATTGTTTTTTTTTTTCATGATGAGCCAATTGTGGTTGAAATTAATAATTCCGTGAAACCTACCGTACAATATCCATGATTATTACAAAATGTACAGAAATGACAAGAAGAAATATAAGTCTTACCATTCATTTTACTTTGGTCATAATCGAATGTTGCCAGAAGACACCGGCCCTTTGTTTTCATAAGTGACGTCATCAGCTCAACGTATCTGTAAGAACGACCCTCACAGGGTATTAACTAGCCTATCAGAAAGACTCACAGTTGACTACTTGGGACTCTGTAAAGATGCTGTTACGTCCTAACAACGATCTCACCATCCCAACTACAATACTATAGTTGGGCCTGCCCAACTATAGCACAGGGGTCCGGTGTGCATGTGCCCAGCCTGTGCCAAAGTCATTTGTTTACAATGTCATATCACAGATGAACTGTTACAGTTAAGATAAATTTTATCAAGATGCATAAACTTGGAGAAGGTTGAAAAATGTTCTTCACAAATTGGCGAATAACAGTCGGGACTATCCCAACTCTATAGCTGGGACATACCTAATAGTTCGGGCGTAACAATACCATTATGGTTTTGGCAAGTATTTAAAAGTAAAGTGGAAGTCTTTTTTTCGCTTTATACCGTGTAAAGCCATAATACCTTCAGGGAACCAAACAAGTCACAGTTCAATAATACTCATCGCCCAGTCTTGAGCGCTCTGCTACTCGTTTGTTATAAAAGCGCCATCTGCCCTGTTACATCACTCGTCATGCTCAATTACAACTATGACTGATCCGTATTTCAATGGGACGGTCTCTGAATTCTGAATGAGACAAAACTACACTCTTTGGAATTTCAAGAAAAGAATTCTGGATTCTTTTCTGGAAAACGTCTTCCAAATTTGCAAGAAAAAAGTCCTTTTTTGAGGGACTATCTCCAAGTATCAGAAATTCTTTACAATGTACCCTCAATTTTACAGCAGCGCTATCTCTTTGCAGTTCCATGAGGCGAGTCCTGGATTCCAACAGGAAAACCTCACAAGAAAAAGCCCTCGAATTTTTGAGGGACCATCTCCCAGTATTAGGAATTCCTTGTGATGTGTCCTCAATTCTAGCATTAACCCTCCTTTGGTTTTACTGCACAAATTTGCACAAATGCCCAC